AAATTTTTTCTTTTTTTTTTTTTAATATTTTTTTTTCTTTTTTTTTTTAAATATTTTTTTTTTTTTCATTTTTTTGGGGCGATTTGCATCAAACTTGCACACCTGACTGTACGTAAGCCTATCTGTAAGGATGCCAATTTTGGAGAAAATTGGTTGATGTCAAACCCAGCCACAGATTTTAGAACCTTAGACTTTATTCATTTCTGGTTTTTTTTCAATTGACACAAACGTTTACAAAACTCATTCTTTTTTTATTCAATTTACATGAAACTTACACAGTATATGTGGAGGGCATGTCTCTACATTGGGGGGCTTTCATTTTTCTCTAAGTTCATTTATTGATTTTATAATAGCAATAAACATGCCATATTTGCAAAAAAATTTTGGGGAACTTTGAACATTTGTATTAGGAAAACTAAATATGTTTTGGAAATTCTAAATCCCCAAATCCTTTATTATATGCTAATGTGTCAGAAAAGTGTCACAGAATAATTTTATCTGAAACGTGTGTTCTGAAGTGTGGACTTGAAAATGTGTAAAAAACGTTCAAAAAAAAAAAAAAAAAACTCCCTTTCTATTTACGCTGCAGTACTGAAACTTGGGACATTAACCCTTACACTGCTCAGGGGTCATATGGACATTTACACCCCTGTGCGCAAGAAAAAAAAAAATTCAAAAAATTTTTTTCGTCTTCTAAACATGTTAATTTGTGTCCCCTGAGCACGGAAAAAATAAAAAAAAAATCGTAGGTGACATATTTTGGGCGCAATTGACCGAGGAAGTCTGGCAAAAAGTGGGCGTTGACAGAGCGGTCGTCAGACCCGGTCAGCGTCACCCGCGTTGACAGATGGGAGTTGCCACAAAGATATTATTACCTAATTGTTTCAATGTCTCCGATTGATTTTTTCTTAGTTTTTTTGCAGTAATATTATTCAATAGTGTGTATTGTAATATATTTATATAATAAAAGTGGTTAATAATCGCTATACTCAAAAGTATGATGTGCGTATTAGTGATTCAATTATTATGTTTATAAAACAATAAACAAATAGTTTTGCTGCTATTACACTCTATACACAGGTTATATATAAGTATTGGCATGTTTTGGTCACCATAACGAACCACTAAGTTGGTATTGAGAGTCGAAAAGCAACGAGGAGTTACCGCCACACACCAGCCAGCCACTCACTGCCACTCCCTCAACACACGCACTAAACTTTCTCCCCCAACAATACCAGTTGTGGTGTTATTACACTATATACAGACGTTATATATAAGTATGAGTATATTTTGTTCACCACAACTGTACAGCTAAGCTGATATAGTTAGTTCAGGCACTAAGAGTCGTCGCTATACACAGATGGCGGCTGGCGGCTCCCTCACTCTTTCAAGGTCACACGCACTAAACTTTCTCCCCCAACAATACCAGTTGTGGTGTTATTACACTATATACAGACGTTATATATAAATATCTACATGTTTTATGCACCGTAACTGTACACCTAAGCTTGTAGAGCGCCCAAAGAGCATAGTGGCCACCCTCTAAACAGCTAGAGAAATCGTGCAGACGACGTCACCTCCGTCACCCATATGGCTCCTCCCAGCATAATCCTTTTGCTGTTATTACACTAATACACACATTATATATAAGTATCTACATTTGTGTTCACCATAGAGAACCACTGACCTAGTATGGTGAACGCAAACAATAACAGGTGGCCACACAGTCAGTAAACGATGCTGTCTCCCTCCGTCTCTCAGCATCACTCCTCACACAGCGCTAATTATTACAACAATCCTGCTATTATCACAACCCTGGTTATTTATATCACAGTCATTGGTCATCTGTAATATTGTCATCGCTAAATAATAACAATTATATATTTATTTTGACATTTTTCGGCGATGCTGTGGGCACAAGCTGAACATCAATGCTGTTCGCTCATGCTGCGTGCGCCGGCCTTGGTTGCTCCAACAGTACTGTGCCTCTCACACCTGAGAATATTGCCCACGATTTTTTTTTAAAATGGCATCTGTTTACAAGAGCCCTGAGGAAGCTACTGTGAACCCCGTGTAGCCGCGGGCCATTTGAATCAGGCCTGGCACCCTATGGCGTATATATACGCCATGCGCACCATGGGACATGTTACTCAGGGCGTATATATACGCCATGCGCAGTTTAAGGGTTAAGTCTAGACATTCTTTGAAATTTCTGAAGTAATTTATTTAATAACTTCTGTTGAGTTGGTATGTGTCTAATGTTTTCTGTATCAGGGTAAAGATTTTCTAATGCATAGCAGTAAAAGGTGGACCAATTCATATGCGATTATTTTAAAATACACTAATAATTTTGCTACTCTAAATGCTAGCAAGAGTAAGAAAAATTATGTCCTGTTAGGTTAAGTTCATAGTTAAAACATTACAATACTATGGTATTGTTATTTAAACCAGTGTCCATAAAATGTATTTTGCGTTAGAAATAAAAAGTTAACTGAAATCATTGTTTTTGTCTCACTATTATAAATCATGCAAAGTTCTAGGGTTGAATGCCAGTTTTAGTGAACAATGCTATGAGAAAGGGTTAATATTTTCAGCACTGTATATGATATTCTCCATATGAATTTCATTCACATGTAGAGAACATAAAACAATTCTTATTATCTTAAGACTTAACACTATAGTTAGCATAGGTAAAGTAGACAAATATTAGATACAATAGTACCTTTCCTGAAGCAGACATTCAATATTGTTGTTTTAGAACACGTTTTAATTTTTTCTTCTTATGAATTCTGATTAGATTTGTGTTTAACCTTACCCCAACTTTGTTGTAGTCTCGTTGACTAGATTATGCAGACCTGTGATGCAAGTATCATTACATCCCAACAGGTTTTCTCATAGGTAAATAACACTATTTTTATTTCTTTGTGCTCCCCATTGTATAGTCAATACCTTGTCAGTGTCAACCAGTTGCTAGAGACTCATGCTTAAAGATCTTTGTAATACTAGTCAGAAGTGATCAAATTTGCATTGATTATACCTATTACTTGTTACCCAGCATTCATCCAGTTACCTTAAAAGTTACTTCTTGAATACTTCCTTCACAAAGAACAAAATGATACTGTATATTGAAATGCACTGCTCCTCAATGGATTTCATTTATAAGTAAAAACCATGTACAGGTACATCGAGTGTACGTACTTGATGTATATATACTGTACAGTTGACCAAACCACTCACTAGAAAGTGAAGAGACGACGACGTTTTGGTCCGTCCTGGACCATTTTTCAATTCCATTCTCACTATCGACTTGAGAATAGTCCAGGACGGACCGAAACGTCGTTGTCCCTTCACTTTCTAGTGTGTGGTTTGGTCAACATATTTCAGCCACGTTATTGTGACTCCTCGTCTGCATACTGTACAGTACTTAAATTAATTTGGAAAATATATAATTTGTATTTTCAATTGAAATTAGTCTCTGTGGTTTGAACATCATCTTAAAATAGTTAGTTTAAAGTAATTGTTTATGTTTTGTAATGTTGTGGCATGAAAACATTTGACAATCTGTAACTGATTAATGAACATAATGCATCTTTGCTGTGCTTTAACTCTTAACTGTAACATGTCATTGTTGTGTCTTGCCATATTAATAAACTTGTCCAGTGTAGTCCATAGCATTTGCATTTGTTTTACAGTGTATTTTGAAATTAAATTTTGTAAATTATTTTTTTATTTTATGACAAATCTGATCTGTGATTGTAAATGAATATAAATGATTGATGATACCCTCGTCAGTTCATGGAAGAACCACTATTTGGATACAAGCTCATAAAAGATGTGCACAATGGTGTGTGCATATAATACAGTGCAATAATACTTAGATAAGTTCAAATTTAAAATATTTCAGTGGGTGGGTTAAAAAAACAAAACAGCTTTCATAAGTGAAGGGGTTGAAATAAAGTACAGTGGCTCCTCGATTAACAAGTGGCTCTATCTACGAGCATTTCGAGTAACGAGCGAGCCACTCGCAGAACATTTGTCTCTACTAATGAGCTTTTCCTCGATTAACGAGCATTTGCGCTGGTTCTCGGACACCTGTTACGACAGTTTTGTTGTTGTTTCGCAAGACGAGTTTACCACATGATGAGCTCGGTGCCGGAATGGATTAAACTCGTTAATCGAGGTGCCACTGTAGCTTTGACTGCTGGGGCTTAAAGTAGGTCTCACAATTTTGAGGTTGAAACAAGTAAGATCATATATGGGTAGTCAAAGCAGATCTCATTGGGGTGGGGGAAGGAGTAAAATGAACCAGTTCACATTAAAATTGGCAAAATATACCAGGTAGCAAATGGAAGGGTTGAAAATCAGACAGATCTCATAAAGTGAAGGGTGGGGTTAAAGTGAACTAGGTTTTTTTCTTATCATATTGAGAGTATTAAATGAAAAACAAAATAAAGTTTCCTCTTTTAGTTACTTGCCTCTTAGCTATATTATGGGCTCTAAAAACAATACTGTACCTGAAAGCAAATGTTTGAAGCTGGATCACTTCCATAACATATCCTCTAACTGCTGATATTGTGTCTCGTCTGCTAGTGTAATTTATACTTTGAGAACACTTTACAAGTAAAAGGGCACCTATTTAAATACAAGAGGAAATTCAAATAAACTACACACAAATATATCGAATTGAGAGATTCAAACAAATCATCGAAATGAGACCGTTATATATATTTAAAACACATGAGTTGGAGCACACACAAAACAGATACTGTATATACCTTTACCACTTACTCCAAATAAACAGTCTCAGGTAAACACCTCACAACATAGATGGGACTCTCACAGTGCAGCCTAAACACACACCTCCATCTTCTACAAGACATTGGCTCCTCTGATTAAGATCATGAGGCATGATGCTGGAGTGAGGCTAGGTTACCCAAAAGTATGGGAAAACTCCTTACTAACTTTAACATTTGCTCGCATACAAAACTCAGCATACCTATATGGATGTCACACCAACATTGGTATTATCAAATGTTGATATATGTGGGAGAAAATTTGTACAATTCTCCCACATGAATACACCCCGTGTTTGTGCTTTGGCTCTCTCTCTCTCTCTCTCCCAGCGAGAGAGTCAAATTGCTTGGTTGGACATTCATTGATATGGAGGTTGGTTTATAGTTTTGCAGCTGATTCAATGAGGTCATACTTAGCAATGGGATCAGCTAATTTAATTTGCTTTCATCTAGTGCTATGGAGATTTTTATCTATCCTGACAGCAGATTTAATATGAACATCGTGTATCTTTAAATGAATCAGTTCACAAGCTTAGAATATTCCTGCATTGTGACAGTGGACTTATTTAATTTTATCACTGTTCATTAAGTATTTCTGATGTGATGGTAGACATGAAGTCATTTTTGGACTCATTAAAAATATAATGTAGAAAATAACGCTAAGAAAGTAAGTAATCATATAGTACAGAATATCCAAACAAATGCTCCTCTTCTGTTTTATTTTAGGCCATCGCCCGACTCTCCAGTGATTACTGCAAAACTGTTGAACAACCTCCACCGTCAGGAGAATTTGGATCGTCACAGCAAAGGAATCCTTCAACAACAAGAACATTTGGGTCTTCTAGAGTGGGTTCAAGGATTGCTTCAGGTCACAACTTTAGTTTTTCGCCAACATCCATACCTACTTCGGGAGAACTGGATTCTCTTTTGGTTGCATTTGGGTCTCATGGTAGTGGCCCGTCGTATGAAGCACCCCTGGCTTCCTCATTTTCTTCATCATTATCTTCTTCCACCTTGAATCAGACGCAGTACATTTGCCCTTGGTGTCAAAGGGTGTTTTCTAAGAGCAGCAATCTAAAGAGACATGTCTTGACGCACACTGGCGAGAAACCTTACGCTTGCCCCCTCTGTCCATATCGTGCTGTCCAAAAAGTTCAAGTTTTTCAACACCTAAGAAGCAAACACAATTCTGAAAAAAGCCAACAGGGTAGTGTGACAGATAAATTTGTAGATAAATGAGTAATAGAATGCAGAAAATAAAAAACTAGCGAGTTATACATAGCTAAGTGTTTAAGAAAAAAAGACTGTACTACTGTATAATGCTATGGATTCAAGGCTTCATGTGTAAATTTAAAGAAAATACTGTCCTGTGAAAATATAATGTTACCACTGGGTAATTAAATGTTAGAGACAGTGCAAAAAACCAAAGAATGGAAAAGACATTATATATCCTGATGATTTTAGATTTGCAGACAACCGTGAAGACATTTGAATGAGTGCTTCCAAAGGTTTTAAATGTAATTGTTTATTATTCAGGGTATATCAAAAGGAGAATTATCAAAAGAGCTTATTGTTTGTACTTACACTAAATGTCATATTTTGTGTGTATTGTTTGAACATTTATGTCTGATTTATTTGCAAGAATAAATATAATTATGAGATGTTGTTTGATTATTCATATTTTAATTTTCCATATCACTTATATTTGTTCATTGAAGTCCAATTGATTTTTTATATATACTGCATTTAGCTTTATTATTAATTTTTTATTATTAAATCCGTTTTTATTTGTTTTCAGTGTGTTGGTAACTTTGGGAGTTACCACTGTTAAATTTATTTAAGATAAAAATCTGTCGGGGTATTTTATTATACTCCCTTGCCTGTCTTTACCTTTTGTACAGTCATAAACGTTAATTGGTTAATTTGTTAACTTTACGTTAATTTGTTTTGTTTAATCCCTTTTTAAGATTCAGGTTGTTTTCTCACCTTCCCCATTTTTCTGGTATGTAGGTGATCTGATCAGTTTGCCTCATTCTTCCAAGATGTAGGTTGCCTTCTCATCAGTGATCCTATCCAATTCTTCTTAGATATGGTAGCATACTTCATCCTCCCCTATTCTTCTAGGGGAGGCAGTGGCCTCCCCAGAAGGCCATTTTCTTCTGGGATGTAGGCTGCCTTTTTTTTTCATTGTCCTATTTTTCCAGAATGTAGGCTGCCTTCTCACCCTGCCCTATTCCAGGATGTTGGTTGCTTTCTCATGCTGCCCCTTCCAAAGTGTAGATTGCCTTCTTATCCTACCCCTTTTTCCTTGAGGTAGGTTGCCTTCTTGGCCTGCCTCATTCTAAAGAGATTTAGGTTGTGTCCTTTTACCCTGGTTTATTTTTTGAGGGTTCAGATTACCTTCTTACTGTGGTTCATTCTTTTGGTATCTAGGTTGCTACCTCATCACTATAAACAAAAATAATTCAGAATGTGGGCTGCTTTCTTTTCACCCTTACCTAGTCATCCAGGATACAGGTTGCGATTACTACTGCCAGGTGCATTTATCTTGAAATGCAAGTTGCTGTCTTACCCTGGCCCATTCTCCTAGGATACAGGCTGTCATCCCATTACTCTATCAAATTCTTCCAACCTTTATTTTGTTTCTTAATCACACAGAAAAAAATAATGAACCTCACAACCCAGAACAACATAGATTTAGAGTACAAAGATCCTTTCTCTCATAGTTACTCAACCACTATGACAGAATCATAGAAGCCTTAGAGGAAAAGCAAAATACAGGTGTTGTATACACAGACTTTGCAAGGGCTTTTGACAAATGTGACTGTGGAGTGATAACCTATAAAATGAGATCAATAGGAATAATGGGTAAAGTAGGGCATTGGGTTTTCAACTTTGTCAAACAAAAGGCAGAGAGTGATGGTAAATCAAGTAAAATCAACCCCAAGTGCAGTCAAAAGTTCTGTACTCCAGGGCACAGTCCTGGCACCACTGCTATTTCTCATTCTTACCTCGAATATAGACAAAAATTACTAGTCACAGTTTCGTGTCATCCTTTGCAGACAATGCAACTTTCGTGCTGATTTTTGTCACTGTAGAAAACACTAAAAAACTACAAGCAGATATAAATAAAGTCTTCGATTGGGTAACTCAAAATAACATGTTTAATGGTGATAAGTTCCAGGTACTTAGTTATGATGGAAACGAAGAACTTAAACGAATCACAGGGTACAGGACGCACTCAGACTTACTCATTGAAAGAAGGCAACAGGTAAAAGACTTGGGAATTATGATGTCTGACGACCTGACATTTAGTGAACATAACCGAGCAAATATAGCTGCAGCCATGAAAATGATAGGATGGAGTATGAGAACGTTCAAATCCAGGGACCCCACAGCAATGCTAATACAATGCTAATCACTAGTGCTGTCCTGTCTTAAGTATTGCTCGGTACTCACTTTCCCTTTCAGAGCAGTAGAGCACTGAATTAGAAGGAATTCAGAGAACATATATGGCACGCATAGAAACGATAAAACACCTAAATTACTGGGACCGTCTCAAAGCTCTTAAAATGTACTCTCTGGAAAGGAGACGAGAAAGGTATCAAATAATATATACAGGGAAGATACTTGAAGGCCAGGTCCCAAATTTGCACAGTAGAACAACATACTGGAGGAAAAGGTATGGAAGGAAATGCAGAATAGAACCACTGAGGACGCGCTATAGGCACAATCAGAGAGCACTGTTTGAACATCAGGGGGGTCCACAGCTGTTCAACACCCTCCCAGCAAGCATTAGAAATATTGCCAGAACTAAGGTGGATGTATTCAAGAGGCACTTGGACAGGTTCTTGCAAGAAGTGCAGGACCAACCAGGCTGTAGTGGACTGCAGGCCACTCAAAGCAACAGCCTGTTGGAACTAGTTATCACAAGTCGAGCCTGGCCTCAAGCCGGGCTTGGGGAGTAGAAGAACTCCCAAAACCCTCTCGAGGTGTGCTCCTGGTACATATTTCTTTGTGAATGTTGGTATAGGAAATATTTTAGTAAGAATATAATTAAAATAATAATTGAATTTACCAAAAACATTATTGTTCTTTAATATATAATGTATATCAAGACATGGAATTTATGAAACTCATAAATTTCACATTATGTATAGAATTTCAGGAGAGTCAAAAACTTATGGTATGTACTACAGACCAGGGGCTCTAATGTTTCAGTACAAGGGCCTCATTGTATATTTTACACATTTTTGCAGGCCAAAGAAACAAATTCTTTTATAAATGATTGTTTTATTTGGTTTGTTTTTGGGTCATCAGCATGATCTGAGGCAGAACAAGATAGAAATGCGGCAATTACAAAGAAAGGATGCTGTGCTTGTGCTGGGAAATAATATATAATGAGTAAAAGTGTCAAACCTTAGCAAGTGCTCTGATAAAAAAAAAAAAAAAAGTCATTAACTTGACTACAGACGAGAAATACAAGATATTAATTTTATTTACCGAAATTTTACGAATGTTTACCAAAAATGAAAATTTGCTAATTTTGTGCCACACAATAAGGAAAATAAACATGCCCCAAGAAAGAAATTCAGTAAATCAAATCAAAGGAATTAAAAAAAAAAATCAAACAAAAATACATTTAAAAACCATATGGTGCATATTACAGTACTGAAAATTGGGCTTTGCCAGTCCAAGAATACTTTAGCTTGGTGTCATATGGGAAGGAGTGCAGTGGACAGGAACTAGACGTGTCGACTGCTAATCTGTGTAGTTGAGAAAAATGAAAGGGAATAAATAATTTGATTAGATTTATTTAAAGTTATTGCATCACAAGAGCCAAGCTTCATTATAAGTCAACCAGGTCACCAGGCAAGCATACAAGCAAGTGAGCATTCATTCGCCTGCATGAAAGGTACAGGGAGGGCTAGACAGTTAAGAGAATCTAGCAACTTGCCTTATCAAATCTTGGTTATCATCCTAGGTAGTCAGTAACAGGTAGTCAGCAATGGGTAGGCTGTCATACATTTTCATTCTGTTTGAATATCTCCCCCCCCCCCCATAATTCCCATCCTACCACACGATCGTGTGTTAGCATGATGCAGCACCGTGAGTCATCCCCACCCCATCACTTTTCCTCCTTCGCTCCAACCTCAGTTTCCAAGTTTTAATGTATGGTTGTATGAGAATGTATCATGTATAACAACAATATTTAAAACCCCATTGTATTTTTTTTTATAAACATTTAAGTGAATGTAAATACCAGTATTGATATTGCAATAAACACCACTCTGGCCACCTCCCAAACCCACACACACCGAAGAAATATAAGAAAATTCACTTTCGCAAACAGTGGTAGACGGTTGGAACAAGTTAGGTGAGAAGGTGGTGGAGGCCAAGACCGTCAGTAGTTTCAAAGCGTTATATGACAAAGAGTACTGGGAAGATGGGACACCACGAGCGCAGCTCTCATCCTGTAACTACACTTAGGTAATTACACTTAGGTAATTACACCACCTTCCTTTCATCGCCCCCACACCCAGGTCCAACCCTCACACTGGCCTACTCCCCTCCTCTCAAAGCTCTTTCTGCATTCCAAAGCATTCAATGCACATCCACATATTCATTTTGTTAGGGACAGGCAGCCTGTGTATGTATGTGCATTAGGCTTACATTGAAATATATGTGAAGACCCATATACACATGCTCACCAGCCACCTTGCAAAAGAGACCAAGTTTAGCTTAGTTATCGGACATATACTAGTACAAGACATTGTGTCCACAAGGGATGCAGCCTGCCTGCTATCATACCTCAGAGTATATTCCCCATTTCTACAACTTTTCCTTCACCTGTACCCCTGCATCATCTTTACTCCCATTACAAAAACAAACCAAAAACAAGATCATACATACCAACACAATCAGAGAACACTGTATAAACATCAGAGGTAAATGGTTGTTCAATATCCTCCCAGTGAGTATAAGCAATATTGTCATATCAGAAGTGGAAATCTTCAAGAAAAAACTGAACAGTTTTCTTCAAGAAGTGCCGAACCACCAGGCTGTAGTGTATGTGGGCCTGCGGGCCACTCCAAGCAACAGCCTATTGGACCAAGCACTCTCAAGTCAAGCCTGGACCAGGCTTGGGGAGTAGAAAAACTCCCAGAACCCCGTCCAGGTATAATTCAGGTACAACTGCACTTTAAAGATTAAATGTTTTGTGTAATGACTATTTCTGAAATATAAATTTTGTAATTATAGTATTATTTACTGTGTACAGTAGTAATTACCTAAGTTATTACTGTACTACTACAGTACTACTATTAGTACTACTACTACTGTTAATACAACTGTGCTATTACTGTACTTCTGTATGGACAGTTCCTTTCGCCAGTCAATTACATAATTCCTTTACCAGGAGAACGGAGTTCAAAAGTAAAGCGGCATCTGAGAAAGGCATGTTTGCTTGAACTTGATCAGCTTTCTTGATTATCACAAGAAACAGCGTTCTTGCCGGTTATATGTTCCCTATATTATTTGCTGTAATATCTCAACTATGTTTGTCTTATCATATTTATTATGCCTGTATATTAAAAAAAAATCAAGCTCCATAAATACATCTTTCAGAAAATATGTTTTAATACACTGATTCATTTCTCTTATACATTCCTATTTTTTAATTATAATTTTCTGGTTGCTGAATAGAACTTGTATTTGAATTGTTTTATAGACAAGCTAAACAAAACATTCAGTAGTAAACTGAATAATAGTAGTAAACAAAACTGAGCTGTAGTTTTAATGTCAGTCTTTACTATTTTTTTTTTGAGATTTACTCTCAGGAATTGTATGTTTAGATTTTATGTTTTGTCCATATTCCTACAAACTAAAAATATGAAAATACTGTACTGTATGTTGAAGTCTGTAAATGTCTTAAAAACTTTACTTGCACTTCTTTTTTATTCGTGTAATCTTTATCTGGTAGTCCTTTCAAATGATAAACAATGATTGGTTGCTTTATTACATGTGGTCGTATGTCTTAGTGTTTCTTCTTGACGTGAGTGGCGCTGGATTCTCAAGTCCTGCCCTTCTGTCTGTTCTAGGGCACACGGCACGGCGTAGGTGATCACCGTCAGTTTGCGGGACTACACATCCAACACCGGCATATCCAACATACTGAGTACCAACATGATCGACATCACCTAAAGAATCCAAGAAGTTCTCATCCTCAGTTATCATACAAGAGGGGCAATGCTCAGGCTGATGGTTCACAAAATAGTGCTGTAGTAACCTCAGAGCAGTCTGATGTCCAGAAGAGTGGTGAATCGTGTTCTGTTGTTCAGGGCGGTGATACTTCTCACAATGCTACTCAGATACTGGAAGATATTATAAGTGGATCATTAGATGAATCTGGTGTGTCACAACAAGTTACTTCTCTATATAAAACTGTTCAGGCTACTGGAAGTAATCCAGAAGTTGTCTTTAAGGGCACAAATATGGGTGATAGTTCAAATAATTCAAAAGATATTCAGATGTCACTGGGCAACCACTTGTTGCTTGAAGATTTATCCCAAAGATATTCTCAGTCACACAACTCTCTCACTGACCAAGGAGAAAATATTTCAGCACCAGAGAACTCCACAGATGAATCTAATCAACTAAAGCAATTGATGGTGTATGAGGGAGGCTCAAGTAGGTATGTGTGTCAGTGGTGTGGAAGACATTTTGACCGGATATCTAACCTGAAGCGACATGTTCTTCTCCACTCGGGTATAAAGCCCTTTAAGTGTCTCTATTGCAATTACTGTGCAACACAAAAAGCTAATGTTGTTCAGCACCTAGCAAGTCGACACAGGGATGAAATGCGAGAACTATTAAATAATAATATAAATGTAAATGATATCCTTGTACCTGCAGGGTCACTGAAGAGATAAAATGTACTTATAAGTTTTTTAGAAGTACTGTACAGTACTGTACTACATTTGGATTGTATTTACGCAGTGATATAAGTATTCAGAAGTTACGAGTGCTGTAGTTCTTATATCCAAAAGCAGTGTATGCCATTCATGGCATTTTCTATTCCACTATATTTATAAAAGTGATATATGAAAACGATCATTCATTCAACCTTCAATCTGTGTTAATTTGGTCAGTGCAGATTTGCAGGTACATGAGATGTTGTGTGAAGTCTTTACAACTGTGTAGTTGATTTGGTGTGTGACTTCTCATAGTTATATTGTGTTCTGCACAATTTATAGATTGCATTTTCACTTCCTTGTGCCTTCCAAGCATTCTACAATTTATTACTGTACAGAATTTGTGTTTTTGAGTATGTAACAATCGGGAAGATATTTTATTTAGAAAAAAGCAGAAAAAGTAGAATTTTGGAGGCCTCTGGAATGTATCTCTCGTCTTGCAGGCGATGAGTCACAATAACGTGGCTGAAGTATGTTGACCAGACCACACACTAAAAGTTGAAGGGACGACGACGTTTCGGTCCGTCCTGGACCATTCTCAAGTCGATTGTGAGAATCGACTCAAAATCGATTCAAACCTTCAACTTCTAGTATGTGGTCTGGTCAATATCTCTCTTCTTATATAAAGGTAATTTCACTCTGCACAAGTTTGTTGGTAAATGCAATCTTTGTACACATCGAGGGTCGACTACATATTTTGTTTTGATATAATCTACTAATTTATCATACATCAAGTATTTTCTGTGTAATTTATTAAATTAAATTTCTGCTTTCATGATTTTGATATCATGAATTCTTCATTTAGCTGATGTAGTAGTTATTATTGACTGCATTATTAGCAAAATTATAAATAATCAAGGGATCAGATAAGGTCAATTGTATAGAAATGAAGTTTGAAAATATATGTTGGGGCACTTCTACAGTACTGTATATAATTTTTAAATTATATACGTAGATAGTTAATAATAGCAGACGATGAGTCACAATAACGTAGCTGAAGATATGATGACTAAACATGAGGAGACAACGACGTTCCACTCCATCCTGGACCATTATCAAGTCGATTGTCGATGGACCATTACCACAATCGACTTGATATTGGTCAAGAACAGACCGAAACATCGTCGTCTCCTCATCTTCTGGTGTGTGGTTTGGTCATCATAGTTAACACTATCGGTCACCGGACAGGCGAGCGGTCAACTTAGGGGTCATGCACCCGACGTGCGGGCAAGCGTGTGGGCAAGCGCGCGGTGACACCTAAATGTGTATACTCGTTTCAGCTTTCTCACCTTAATTCTCGTGCTACATCGCTTGTTTTGGTATCATTGTGTTCGCAATTAAATTCCCTACAGGTGTGTATAAATATAATGTCCAAAAGCCTGGTGTGACTCCCAACAGCAAAGCCTAAAGTTGGCAAAAGTTACCCGAGAGCGCACAAAATCAGTAAAATGTGCATATTCGTTCCATTTTTCTCACCTTAATTCTCGTGCTACGTTGCTCGTTTTGGTATCATTGTGTTTGCAATTAAATTCCCTACAGATGTGTATGAATATACAACCCGTTCTCGCAAATTTAATAAGTCAATATTGACTTATTAAATATGTGCATAGGTGACATACTTAACATAATAGTTTCCCTTGAAAAGCTTCATAGAAAACACCGACCTTACCTAACCTACTTAGTATGTTAAGATAAGCATCTTATTGCTTCGTAATTACAATTATTACCTAACCTATACCTATAATAGGTTAAGTAACAATTGTAATTACGAAGCTATAAGATGCTTATTTTAACATACTAAGTAGGTTAGGTAAGGTCGGTGTTTTCTATGAAGCTTTTCAAGGGAAACTATTATGTTTAGTATGTCACCTATGCACGCAACTAATAAGTCAATATTGACTTATTAAATTTGTGAGAACGGGTTGGAATATAATGTACAAAAGTTTGGAGTGCCTCCCCGCAGTAAAGCCTAAAGTTACCCGTGAACGAGCACCAATTTGTACACTGCAACCTAATGTGTATACTTGTTCAGTTTGATAGCATCAATTTTTGTGTTACGTCTTTCATTTTGGTATCTAATTGTTCGTAATAAAAAGGCGCGTATTTTAAAACTAGTCCCATAATAATAGAGCAATAACTGGAATTTTAACAAATATTTTAATTTTGGAAGCTCATCATCACAAAATTATTTATCTTTCCAGTGTTCTGACATAAATTTTTGTGTTACATCTTTCATTTTGGTATCAACTTGTTCGCGACATAAAGACGAGCATTTTAAAACTAGTCCCAACATAATAGCATAATAAATAGAATTTTAAGAAATATTTTACAATTTTGACCAAAAGCCTATGTATAATCATATAAGTGTTCGGACATCAAGTTTCATGTTACATCTTTCATTTTGGTATCAAATTGTGCGCATTCTAAAGGCACTTATTTTGATAATATACCGAGGTCGATTGGATAAAAAATGAATTTTATACAAATATTTTTTGTAGTGGATGCAAGTCCGGTCCAAAGTTAGGACTCAGGAGAAAAATAATGGATGCGAGTCCGGTCCAAAGTTACCGATAGTGTTAATAATAACACAACAAATATTTTTTTGAGATTACAGCAGATTCTGTGTACACAGTATGTTTTAGTATGAAAGTAAATTCATTTTTTATATATGTTGCAAAATATATTTGTACAGGATGAAAAATATTAGGGATTTCAGTATGAGGGTGGCTTATTGATGTTAATGTGGCTACCGAGCATGAGACATTAAGTGAAACCAATACAAAGTGTTAAATCTCTCTTCTTATTTGATAGGAATTATAATTATTATTATTTTTTGTTACATACTTTAATCATACTTATGGGCATACTTTATACTGAACAAGATGGATGTAGCTGTCCATGTGGTTATCTATTACAGAAATTCTTTGCATAATAATGTTCTCAATGTTGTACACCTAAAGAATCAAGTACACATTTTAATCAGGATTTTTCATTATTTAATTTTGGAATAAAACAGCATGTGATATGCTAAATTAACCCAGCAAGCAAATCATGCTAGAGTAATGTTTAATCAGTGTTGGATGACTGTTTAATCAGTGTTGGATGACTGTTTTCAACATTGATTCATTGTTACATTAACATCATTTGCTTAGGGGATAATTATTGTCAATAGGCTGAAGATGGATTTAGTGTTTCAAACTACTGTAACATAAAGTAATATTAGTATAAATATGATTAAGAAGCTTTTCATTTACCACAAGAGTATGAGTGCACAAATATCAACTGAAAGTTATAAAGAACGTTTCAAAACAAATATATGTGGCTAAGGTCATGTCAGTGATCTGCTACATTCAGAGTATAGTACTGAATATCTTTTATTTGTGAGAAGGGCTTTTAATTGGCTTTCTCCAGTGTCTGTATCTATAAGAGAGAATGTCTGTTTGTCCAAGGTCGGAGGCCTGATGCTTGGGGCTAGCCTCACCCAATTTTGCAAGGGAAATGGGCTGGGGTCTGGGACAGACAGGCTGGTCGTGGGGCACCAGAATTCAAGAGGGAACAGCATGCTAGGGGTCACAGTCTGACTCCCCTTGACGATTTTTGGCACAGCTTGCTGGCTACACCTAGCTAAAAATTTTGAAAACAAGAATTTCACAAAGTTTTTTCTTATAATAATGTTCTCCATTAATCACTGATCTCTGGAAAATTAATTTAAATTTTCTAATACTCGTACTTTGGGTGTGACAGCATAAAATAGATGAGCTTCTGACAGCTTCAAAGGCTTTGTGAAGACCTGCCCTTTTCTCAAAGCAAACAGGTATTTTTTTTTTTTTTAATATTTCACACCATTAGGCTTCTCCCGCCAGTGAACCACTCACATGCCAATGCTAAATTATTATATTATTTTTATAAGATAGAGAGATGGAGACAAATAGTCAGAAAAAAATGAGACAAAATGAGAGAGAGATAGACAGATATACAGAGATGGAGATATAGACAGAAACAGAGAGAAACAGACAGTTACGCCTGCAGAGAGACTAGGTCGACCAGGGCACAGAGACAAACCAAAAAAAATTGAGACAGGTAGACACAGAGAAAGATAGAGATACACAGAAATAGGGGGTCAGTCTCCCCCCTCTAATTGTCAGTTGGATTTTTTCTTTTTTTCTTTTTTTGTATGTGCATCTGCTCCAGAAATTACGGCCTTGACCAGTAGACAGCATGAACCCTTCCCCACCCCCCACTTCCTCCGTGAAATGAGTGGGAGGTGTAATTTAAATGAGCATAAACTTATTTTGAGAGAATTGATTGTTTACGTGGTTGGGGAGAGTTCGTTTTGATGGGTTTTGAGGCATTGGCCCTTCAAACCCAACAGTGGTCTGTATTGCAGGCGATGAGTCACAATAACGTGGCTAAAGTATGTTGACCAGACCACACACTAGAAAGTGAAGGGACGATGACGTTTCGGTCCGTCCTGGACCATTCTCAAGTCGATTGAGAATGGTCCAGGACAGACCGAAACATTGTCGTCCCTTCACCTTCTAGTGTGTGGTCTGGTCAACAGTGGTTTGTATTGGTTCGCTGACTTGGTTGCCTTCCCCAACGAGGCAACGGAGATGGTGGGAGTGTCACCTGCTCCCTGTACCTCTGTGAGTTGGGGGCCAAGTTCTGCCTCTGGTCCATTGTAGACCAAACAGAATTCCACGGCTGATGTGAACTAGTCATTGAGAGACATCTCGGCTGTAGAGGCACTAGAGCTTACCCAAAAGTTGGTTTCATTACATTCAATGCTAGTTTTTTTTATTTTTTTCAAAAACAGCACCAATTACAATGCCATGATGCAGGCGATGAGTCACAATAACGTGGCTAAAGTATGATGACCAGACCACACACTAGAATGTGAAGGGACGACGACGTTTCACAATCGACTTGAGAATGGTCCAGGACGGACCGAAACGTCGTCGTCCCTTCACATTCTAGTGTGTGGTCTGGTCATCACAATGCTATGATCCTGTGCCAGCTATTTGTCACCTAAGCCATGATCACATTTCTCTAATATTTTGCTGCCTTATCCATGGTAATGCAGTTCCTCTTAATCTTGCCTGATATACTACATTTGCCAGATGACATGGCTTCAACTGTCAAGTAATATATTAGAAGAAAAGTCAGTGAAAATGCTTGAATAATGAGAGGTCAGATAAAACTTACAAGGAAAACATAGTAATGAATAATATTAACAAATAAAATGTAGGATTAAAAAAGCAAAAATCTAAAATAAAATATACAGTAATTTGATGGATATTGCTTTGGGATGAAATGACGAACAACATGAATTTTATAATTTTTTCCAAACAGATTTTGAATTTTTTCTCAAGAAATTCAAATTTTGAAGAGGAAGCTAATGAATGTACAGTATTTGATCTGCTATTTAGAAGAATATCTTGTATGGAGGTCTGAATTAAAGTACCTGTACTGAAGTATGACATGTTATTATACAAGTAAATCAGTCATATCCAGCAACACTTGAAGAGTCTTTTGAGGCATGCACAAAGGAAGCTCCTTTCATGGAAGAAAGAGGCGTAGTAGGCAAAAATCAATTGTATACAGCCTTAATGTAGATGACATACAATGGCACCTTCGTTTATGAATTTAATTCGTTCCAAGAGACGGTTTGTACACTGAAAATTCATAAACCGAAACGAATTTTCCCATAAGAAATAATGTAAATTTAATTAATCCGTTCCACTCACCCAAAAATATTAACATAAAAATACATTTTATACAGAATACTATTTATACTTTTTACTATACCTTACCTTTATTGAGGACTCTTAGTGGCAGTAAGGGGAGGGGGAGTAAGGTAGGAGAGGTGTTAGTGTTTGGAAGGGGAGTCCCCTTCCATTATAACATCAGGCAGTGATGATATTTCTGGGGTACTCTCTCTCCTACATTTTGCAAGCTTACCATTAGGACCTGGTTGTGGCTCACTGCTTGTTTGTCTTGGTAAGAATCTGTCTATAGACACTTGTTTTTCCTAAGTTTTAACACTTAATTGTCTATAGTGAGACATCACAGTCTCATTAAAAAGGTTAATGCAGTGGCCTGCTACACCTTTATCTGGGTGAGTCTTTTCAGCAAAACTTTGCAATTCTTCCCATACTGCACACATTTTTCTTACCACTGACTCTCTTGGGACCCATAACATGATATATAATGAGAACTTTTATGTTCAGAAACAAAAAAAGCAGAAAAACAATGAAATTCTTCACAAAGAATTCAAGCACGGTCGTCACTAGGCGGGATACACCAGTAAACTGAGCGCACCTCGCCCCGCGCCCAGCAGAACCCATGTGCTTGACCCATACAGTTATTAACAAACGACTCATAATCCATGGCAAACTTTGTATACAAGTCAAAATTTACGATGAAATTGACTTCGTATACCGAAAAATTTGTAAGCAGGGGCATTCATAAATGGAAGTTCCACTGTATTCGTTACAGTAAAAGACCCAGATGAACTAATTGATTTAAAAAGCCATCTAGAGAGTGAGTCAGGACTCCAATTTACCTGTGAATGTAGTGAAAATAACAGTCTGTCTTTCCGGGAAACAGGAGCATCTCTTAACACCAGCATATAAACTAAGCCTACAAACATAGAATTATGCCTAAACAGTAGGAGTGAGTGCCCCCAAAGATACAAAGCCAGTGTTCTCAATGCTTATATTCTTCGAGCCCTTACCCACTGCTAGGAATGGAGCATGTGAGTAGAGAGTTTGAAAGAATAACTCAAGTGTTGGTGAACAATGAATACAGCAACAAAGAAATAAACACTACTATAAGATGACACCTGGACCAGTGGTACAATCCTGAACCAAGAACAGAAACCACAACACCTCCAATAAAATTATATTACAAATCAACCTTGCACAGTGAACAGTGAGCACAGTGATCAACCCCAAACGTACACTGTACCATGACCACCGCACCATTGATCACCATCAATGGTGCGGTGGTCACGGTTCTGTGTACGTTTGGGGTTGATCCTGAACATCATGGGTTCGAATCCTGGTCGGGTCATTTAGAGTTCTTAGTGATATATATACTGTATATATATATACAGTATTGGAATGGTTCCTGTCAGAATACGTCATTCCCAAACATTGAGTCACCACACCGCATGGGGCCTTTTGAGTATTAAAAAATAGAGCCATTGCAAATAATGTTGGGAACTATTACTGTAAATTGTTATTTTTTTGTTTTTGAGATCAGTTGCTTTTGAGAATACAGTATAATATAAATTGATGTTGCATTTTGAGGGGGGGGGGGGAACATTTACAAACTTTGCAGATAAAAATTTATATTGTGAAAAAAAGGAGGGTCATTATATAGTACAGTACTTACATATTTCATTGTTCATAGGAGTATATTGCAATTATGACTAAGTGGTCTTGATTTTTAATTATGGAGGTATATTTCTCTGCAGTTTTAGAAGTACAATATAGTAAATCTAAATTTATAACTTTTTAATTACACATGTCTGATTCTCATTTTATGGTCATTCTGGGTTGATGAAAAGGAGTGTTCCACAGTGGAATTAGATGAGGAGGTTTTGATGACTTACATTTCATAACACTAATATCTACTTTTTGGACCTTGTGCTTTTTATTTGCATTCTTTTGTTGAATTACTTTCAAACTGTAGCTTTGAAATTTACCACTTTGCTGTGGTTGTGTGTTGTGATAAATTTTACCTTGGCTACATTATACTGCAATAATGGCAGGATTCCCACATGGCAGCGTCAACAGCTGTGTTTATTCTCTTGTAGGAGCGACAACTGGGTGCAGCATCGCGTGTTCCTCAAGGTAGACGGTATGTGGACTACGGCAACACTTCTGCTTGGGTCACCTCCATAAGTCAGACTTCTACACCTACCACTATGCCCGTCTTCTCAGGCCACACCTCAAAGTCATCACCCTCCTCAGTCTCTTACCATGTCACTCGTGTTGATTCAGTTGGGCATGGAATACAGGGCAATATAATGTCTGTTGAAAATTTAACAGAAGCTTCTCCGTGCATATCACCTAACAATTCAAATTTGATTGAATCTGGGCAGGGTTCATGGGCAGACACACCAAAAATGGGGCCACCTGTTGATGAATTACCCATGGAAAAGGGAGAAGCAGATGTTTTACGAGTAATAACATTATCTGAGATTTCTGGAACTGCCCCAATGCCGACTCGAGATCCGCTTGAGTGTCCATGGTGCCTGAAAGTGCTTTCTAAAGCATCAAATTTGAAGGTTCACATACGGCGTCATACAGGAGAAAAGCCATATCGCTGCTTGTTTTGTCCATATACTGCTGCCCAAAAAATTCAAGTTGTAAACCACATGAATGCTAGACACCAAGCATCTCCCAGCTCATTTTTGTGAATATTAAGGTAATTTCTCATCACATTACAGCTTAATGTGTAGTTTAAACATTTTGTTTATGAAGAAAATTGTAGATAGGATTACTAATTCATCTAGAATTATATTTTAGTGAATTAAATATTTTTCAGCATGCTCAGAGGTAATTTCTAATCATCTGAATTATAAAATCAGCTTTTCAGTGTGTATATTTAATCTAAACATTCTTTTGTCATATATTGAGAAGTCATGTTAACTCTCACATTGTTCTGAGAGGTAAATAGTTCATATTCCTTATTGTAGCTCTTATTATTTCAACTTTCCCTATTAATATTATCTTATTATTTCAACTTTCCCTATTAATATTATCTTATTATTTCAACTTTCCCTATTAATATTATAAGTACTGTATTATGGATTTCATTGTACTTAAAAATAAGTACAGGGGATTACATACATTATAAATTATTGAATTCAAATAAATTTAAATTGTTCATCAGCAACAAGCTAATCTGAATACTTTTTCATAATTGTTTGAGTTATACTAGATAAATAGTACTGTACTGTGTATTAAAATATGTAAAGTTTATCCAAGGAGTATTAGAATTCAAGAGTTTTGAATAGTATTCCAAACTAGAATATGATATATTTATGAGTTTTTCATAACTATTAAAATAGTGCAACACAACAGAATTTATACACTGGCAGTGTAATTACCTAAGTGAAATTACAGAATGAGAACTATGCTCATGGTGTCCTGTCTTCCCAGCACTCTGTCATATAATGCTTTGAAACTACTGACGGTTTTGGCCTCTACCACCTTCTCACTTAACACTTTCGCGCATGGAGCGTGCGCTCCGCAGATATGCACGGAATGCTCCTGGCGATGTGGGTGAGCGCGCGGTGGAGCGTGCGATGACACCGAAATGTGTATACTCGTTTCAGTTTTCTCACCTTAATTCTCATGTTACGTCATTCGTTTTGGTATCATTGTGTTTGCAATAGAATTCCCTACAGGCATATATGCATATAATGTCCAAAAGCCCTGCGTGACTCCCCACAACAAAGCCTAAATTCTGCAAAAGTTACCCATGAGCGCACAAAACCAGTAAAATGTGTATACTGTACTCGTTTCACTTTTTCACCTTAATTCTCATGCTACATCGTTCGTTTTGGTATCATTGTGTTCGCAGTTAAATTCCCTGCAGGTGTATATGTATATAATGTCTAAAAGTCCGGTGTGACTCCCCCCAGCAAAACCTAAAGTTACCCGTGAATGAGCACCAATTGGTACACCACAACCTAATATGTATACTGTACTCGTTTAGCTTGATAACATAAATTTTCGTGTTACGTCTTTCATTTTGGTATCAAACTGTTCACAATATATAGGTGCGTACTTTAAAGCTAGTACCATAATAATAGCACAATAAATAGAATTTTAAGTTAACAATTACAGTATTTTAAAATTTCGACCAAAAAGTATTTATAATTTTTCCAGTGTTCTGACATCAATTTTCGTGTTACATCTTTTTTTTTTGGTATCAAATTCTGCACAATCTAAAGGTGCTCATTTTGAAACCACCCCGAAGTTGATTGGATAAAAATTGAATTTTTTACAAATACTTTAAATATTGGACGCACGCACGCGTTACATGCTCGAACTCGGGAGAAAAATTGTGGACTCCCTGGGGCGATCGAAGAGTGCGATAGTATTAACTTGTTCCAGCTGTCTACCACTCTGTGAAAATTAATTTTTAAATATTTTTTCAGCAGCTTTGTTTGGTTACTTTAAATCTATGACCTCTTGTTCTTGAAGCTCCAGGTCTCAAGAATTATTCATCAATTTTTGTCACTTTTTTTTTATTTGCACATATTATCACCTTTTTATCTTCTATCATTGGCATATTTAATGCCTCTAACCCTCCGTGTTTCCCAACATGGGGCATGTGCCCCACAGGAGATTAGGGGGGATGTAATTTGAAGGTTTTGCGGGCCAATTTAAAGATTATGGGGTGCAAGTACAGCTGTTTTCTCCAAAATTCACTAATCGAACAACTAACATACTTTTCAATTACTTAAACAAGTTTTGATAATTATTGTTACAACATAATTAAAAATGAATGTCACTTGGCCCAAAAATGACAGCCAGTTCTCAAAATGGCAGACCCAGGTGGGTCATAGACTAAAATGCCAAATAGAGAGCATAAACAGTAATCTCAGCTTAAAAGAAACTTTCGTGGGCAACTAGCATTAGTTGACAATTTGATTCTTATCTTTTGGATTGAGAACTCTCTGCCCTTTGTGTCTGTCTACCGATTCTTGGCTGCTCTCGCTTTCCCCCACGAAAAAAAAGGAAATAGCAGCATTAGAACACCTGCCTACATTGTAATGCATGAGCTTCTTTCTACTTATCTTTACTTAATAAAGGAGAAGGTACATATAATGATCGCTAGGGACATTCGTAAGTCACCTCAGAGGACGGTAAGACACTATCTCTTTTGTTCAGAACATTCGTCGTTGTTAACTTTTATTTTTCTTTGGTTTTATTATACATTATGTTTTATGTACTGTACAGTGCACAAGAAATAATTTTTACACAAAAACTGGCATTTTTTTTTTTTTTACATTTGGGAAGGAATTATTATTTAACTTTATTTTTTTACTCTATTGTAGGGTTTCTAACACTATACAGTACAGTATAATAATTATAGGGTCCCAGTAGTACAGTTGGGTTCATTTTTGACTCACAATCGGGCATTCCGGGTAAGAATTCTGGGCAGGCAAAGGCAGAGGCAAAAAATTAGAGACCGATAGCACTAACATCGCACATCATAAAAATTTTTGAGAGAGTGCTAAGAGGTAAGATCACAAAATACATGGAATCACAGCATCTCCATAACCCCGGACAACATGGTTTCAGAACAGGGCGCTCTTGCCTGTCGCAGTTGCTGGACCACTATGATATAGCATTAGATGCTATGGAAGACAAACAAAACGCTGATGTAATTTACACAGATTTCGCAAAAGCTTTTGATAAATGTGACCATGGTGTTATTGCACATAAAATGCGTTCAAAAAGAATTACCGGGAAAATAGGCAGATGGATCTACAATTTCCTGACTAACAGAACCCAATGTGTAATAGTCAACAAAATAAAATCCAGCCCATCAACCGTGAAGAGCTCAGTCCCCCAGGGTACTGTGCTTGCTCCAGTACTTTTTCTCATCCTCATATCGGACATAGACCAGAACACAACCTATAGCACTGTATCATCCTTTGCAGATGACACTAGGATTTTCATGAGAGTTGGCAACATAGAGGACACGGCAAACCTCCAATCAGATGTAGATCAGGTCTTTCTATGGGCTACAGAAAATAATATGGTGTTTAACGAGGATAAGTTCCAGCTCATGTGCTACGGAAAAATTGAAAATATAAAAACAGAAACCACGTACAAAACTCAGGCAAATCATAACATAGAACGAAAAGGCAATGTAAAGGATCTGGGTGTACTCATGTCGGAAGACCTTACCTTTAAAGAACACAATAAAGTAGCCGTCACAACTGCAAGAAAAATGACAGGTTGGATAACAAGAACTTTTCACACTAGAGATGCTATACCGATGATGATACTTTTCAAAACGCTTGTGCTCTCTAGAGTGGAGTACTGCTGCACAATGACAGCCCCTTTCAAAGCTGGAGAAATTGCTGACCTGGAGAGCGTGCAGAGATCCTTTACTGCTAGAATCCACTCAGTAAAACATCTAAATTACTGGGACCGACTAAAGAGCCTAAATCTGAACTCCCTTGAGCGCAGGCGGGAGAGATACATAATAATTTACACGTGGAAAATAATTGAGGGGCTGGTCCCAAACCTGCACACAGAAATAACATCACATGAGACCAGAAGACATGGCAGGATGTGCAGAATACCCCCGTTGAAAAGCAGAGGTGCAACAGGTACTCTGAGAGAGAACTCTATCAACATCAGAGGCCTGAGACTGTTCAACACGCTTCCACTACACATAAGGGGCATAACTGGCCGACCCCTCACAGTGTTCAAGAGAGAACTGGATAAGCACCTCCAAAGGATACCTGATCAACCAGGCTGTGACTCATACGTCAGGCTGCGAGCAGCCGCGTCTAACAGCCTGGTTGATCAGTCCAGCAACCAGGAGGCCTGGTCGACGACTGGGCCGCGGGACACTAAGCCCCGGAAGCACCTCAAGGTAACCTCAAGGTAGTTGGGTGCATTTCCTATCACCTACTGCACCTGTTAAACCTAATAGTAAATAGGTACCAAGAAGTTAGTCAGCTTGTTGTGAGGTTGCATCTTGGGAAGGGTCAGTAATTCAACCTGGGATGGGGTTGGGGGGAGGGGACCTCGATATAAGCCAAACATATTCATATACTCTGGCTGCCTGTTCTCCGACACAATGAATAGTAATTGACTTTTATTTGTTCCTAGTGTTGGTGTTCTCTTATTGTTTGGTAGTAATATTGTATTATTTATTCTGTTCTGTTAACAGATTAAATAGTTAAAATACTGTATATTAACTGCCTTTGTATTTATTTGAATTTTTTATAAAAAGTTTCTAATACATTTTTGTTGTTTGGAATAGATCATTTCTTTTCAGTGTCTTCTGCACAGTTATATTTTATGTTATACAATACTATTGTTTTTACACTCAGAAATCACAATAGCGTGATGCATCAAATGAACAAATCCACAAGGAGACGTGACGAGGGTTCGAACCTATGTCCTAGAGCATCCCAGACACTGCCTCAATCGACTGTGCTACGACATGGTTAAAAGAATTGCAACCAGAAGTTCTACTGCCCTTACTTGGACCCTGCAACCTCTCCGAGACACAAACCAGGATTTTACGCAATTCCCCCATGCACTCGAGCTCTGTCAATAGGCCGTTCTACCTCTTCGCCCTTACTTCATTACACACAGAAATCACAATAGCGTGATGCATCAAATAAGCAAATCCATAAGGGCCGTGATGAGGGTTCAA